GCATACAGAATGGATATCCTTGGTGAATCGGCCAATTGTCAGCCTCTCACAAATAGCACACTTTGCGAGGTATATATTATTATATTATTACCGCTGTCAACAAATTTGCTAAGTATATCAATTTTCTCAAATATTTAGCTCTATTTTGGCAAAGACCAGTTGTGTTGTGTGATGCGGTGATGTACAGCCGCCCCGCGTGTAGGCCGCGGAAAGAGTGCGTCGTGGCCACGCGGTCGAGTAAAAGAAACTTGTTACTCTCGAATATGTATATTTCTTTGGGAATACTCGGGTTACACAGATCAGGTCTGGACTCGCACGACGGATGATTGATTCCGCTTACGAACCGAAGTATCGTCGACAACGCTTGTTTTAGAACTCTCCAACCGGTACGAGTATGTACGCGCACCGATCTCGAAACAAAAAAGAGGGGGGTCCCAATCGCGAACACGTCCGAGCGTGCGCTTCGAGGGCCGAAAGGGCCCGAGTTAGAAGGGGCATCAATGCGCCAAATTCGAACGGCAATCAAGTACCGAACACCAGTGGGAGCCGAGAAGAGACAAAAAGTTGCGATGCTCGGATGTACCAACGTTGCTAGCTTCAAAAAAAACTCTTTGCCTAACTCTGCTTTTACGTATATGTATTATACTGATATGCATACCTATTCTCGGCCGTTTTCTTGTAACATTCTTTTGTTTTAAGAATCGTTCACATATATTTTTGAGGTTTCACAGAAGGAAGTCAATTTGCGAAGCGCCTTCGCCACAGAACAGTCTCCGTAATTGAGTATCGTTTTTGGAAGTGAAGAGATTAAATATAAAATGTCCAGTTCAAAAACCGAGAGTACGGAACAATCGGTGCCTAGTTCGTCGACGTCGAGTGTATTAAAAAAATATTTCTCCTATTCGATAGATAAAGACAAGGTGAAATTCGGAAAATGTTTAACATGCGAAAATGAAAAAAAAGTAAAAAAAATTTATAAAAATGAAAACTCTAATACAAATGGCTTAAAAATGCATTTGTTATCTTTTCACCCAAAAATTTATAATATTTACAAAAAGGAAATTACACCGCCGCAACTGGCAGATGGACAACTAACGATTAATCAAGCATTTCAACAGGTAGTGTAAAAATAATTTATCTATAATATGTATTTTCACGTTCATAGAGGTTTATATTTTGCACATACAATAGGAAAGAGAAATTTCACATCTAACAGAATTATGAAAAGAATTCCATTTCATTTTAGTATAAATTGAATTTATATTTAAAAATACTTACTTTTTAAAGTAAGTTCTTTTTTCAGACAAGAAATGTACAAACCCTGTTATCTCAAAGCGAGTTTGATGATTTGGTTGTCAACTGGATGTGCATCAAATATTTGCCTTTTAACTTTTTCGAAGATGACTCTACACGGTAGTTTTTTCAAAAACTTAACGATAAAATTATAATACCAAGACGGAATTCAATGAGAACGAAAGAAATGCAAAAGTTCGAAAAACTACAAGAATGTTTGAAACAAATTTTAATGGAAAATAAATCAAAAATTTCTTTTACTATTGACGGATGGACTTCCGTGGCAAATAAATTATTCTACGGAATTACAGCCCATTTCGTAGACAATAATTGGGAACTACAGTCTCTAGTTTTAGATGTTATTCCTTCTAATGGAAAGCACACAGGAGAAGATATTGCTGCAGTTTTTTATAAATCGTTAAAATCCTTTCACATTGAAAATAAGTGTGGTGGAATAACAATAGATAACGCAGCTGCGAATACCACGTTTGTGGAAGAATTGCAAATTCTTATGAAAAAAAAGATATTCGCTTTGATGCAAAACAGCAACATTTTCGTTGCTTTGCTCATATATTAAATTTAGGTATTCAAGATACTTTGAAATTGATGAAGCTGCAAGACATGACATACGATAATGAAGATGCCGAAGATGAAGAAATAGAAGACGGTATGAATGACGGACAATCATGCATAACGAAATTGCAAGAAATGTTTAAGAAAATACGTTTGTCGGAACAATGGCAAATTAAATTACGTAGTTGCTGCGAGACTAGAAATGTTAAATATGTGTTGCCCAATATTGACGTTTCGACACGTTGGAACAGCACGTATGACATGATAAAAACCGGATTGCATTTAAAAAATCCCCTAAATACGCTTTGAGAGAATAACGTAATTTTTTCTCATTTAAAACTTAATCAAGATGAATGGTTACTTCTTGAAAAAGTTTATAAATATTTTAAGGTATTTAAAACCGTATCGACTTTGCTAGAAGTGATAAATATGCAACATTAGTAATCGTAGGGTTTAATATGCTTTTAGATTCTATCGAGAAGCAAATTTTTTAATTAGACAGAAAGATCGACAGAAATGAAATCGACTAACTGCATTTCAAGCAGGACGCGACAAAATGCTCAAGCATTATTCGAAGACTAATTGGATCTACTGTGCTGCATTGATTTTAGATCCACGGCATAAAATGGAAACTTTTGATTTGACTGCGTTGGACAAAGAAATGAAAGCAGAGTCAATAAAACAGTATTTAGAATTCTATAAAAATTATTATGATGAAAAACAAAATGATGGCAATAATTGTACACTAGAAACAATTGAAACTGATGAAGATGACATACGTATTGACTCTCTATACACGGAACAAATAATAAAGAGCATCGAAGGAATCTTCAGTACTAAGCTGGTGGAAACAAAATGAAGCAATATATCCTACGTTATCAACAATGGCTAAGGATATTTTTGGAATTACTGCCACTTCTGTTCCAGCGGAAAGATTATTTTCCAAGGCGTCATTAGTTATTAGAAAACATAGGAATAGATTAAACGAAACATCGGCACGCATCAGAATATTAAAGTATTGCAGTGATAGCCAGTCTTATAAGTAATTAAATTCTTTAATTAAAGATTTAAAAAATTTTAATGTTTTTTGAAGTTTAAAGTTGTTGGCGTGAAAAATTAAGTTCTAACAAAAAATGTTTCAAATATAAGTTGTAGTTCTTCTAAAACTACATTATTTATGTTCTATACATTTTTTGCGTAAAAATGATAGTTTCGATGTTACAGACTGAAAACGGCTATGGTTCCGAATACAACATATCTCTGATTGCGTTGGCTCGATCGCCTCGCCGTCAGCAGTTTGCGGCATCGCGCTATGAAAAACAGTCGACGTGGTCCACTCCACACCTCGGACATAGTTTGGGTAGGGTTATATTTTAACGAGATGGAGCCCCCCCCCCGCAGGAGGGGGGGGGCGGAACAAACTATCTCCACGCATGTACTTCCGCCGTTGTACTGTTCCACATAGGTTTGCAACTTTCCACGTGAAGCGAACACTTCCACCGGTTTCGGTCACGTCGACTGTTTTTCATAGCGCGATGCCGCAAACAGCTGACGGCGAGGCGATCGAGCCGACGCAATCAGAGATATGTTGTATTCGGAACCATAGCCGTTTTTAGTCTGTAACATCGAAACTATCAGTTTTACGCAAAAAATGTAGAGAACATAAATAATGTATTTTTAGAAGAACTACAACTTATATTTGAAACATTTTTATGTTACATCAATATTTATCGAAATAATGTCTAAAAAGTTAAAAATTTTGAAGTTTTTTTTAGTTTTGATTTTGAAAATGACCTAGTCGCAAATTTTCATTGTCGTATTCGTAATCAGCGTTCAAAAATACAAAAAATAGTGTAGTTTCAAAACAATCAGAGGATTCACCTATTCGGAACTTTATCCAAAGTCTCGTCTCGGTCTCGAATTGGAATCTTAAGTCTCGTCTCGGTCTCGTCACGGTCTCGATGCCGAGACCGAGACCAGTCTCGGTATCGTCCGAAACACTAGTAGCACGTGTCTGCACGCGCACGGTTCCGAGACAGCGCGACATGTGTGCTCGGTATTCTCGTGCTCGCTCGGGCATCTCCGCGGACGATCGGTTCTCCGTGCGAGCGTGTGATGGTTTCGCTTATGTGGTGCGCCTCACCCCTCGCCCGATATTCGGCGGCATTCCGTCGTTTGTCTGCCGGGAATGATGCATTTCGGGGTGCATCGTTACATCTATGTACATTAACGTTTTGAATATTTATCTTGTATACTCACTTTATGGCCCGTAAATGCATTTCCACGGTATTCGTAAGAATTTTACAATACGTCATTTTTTGTAATTTCAATGAAGTAAAATTCTGGCATAAAACTTTTGATGTATTGTATTGGTACAGTGTGTATTGGAATCGATATCTGTAAATATTATAAGATTCTGAAATATATTAGGTGTACAAATAAATAATCCAAATTTTTTTAAGCGACTAAGAAAATAAGTTTCAATTAATCTAATTTTCCGCTCTTTTAATGTTATGTAGCGTTGACATATAGCTATTAAAAATTATATTTAGTATGGCGGGAGGTTCAACATAATCATAAAAATTATTCAGTTTAGTAAAATAAAAAATGGCAATGGATAAGGTATCCGACACGGCATTCTTTACGAATTCAAACAAGGAAAAATACTTTCGTGAACAGGATCACCAAGATCAAAACAAAACCGAACGACATCCTAGTGAGTTTCGACGTGGTTTCCCTGTTCACCAACGTTCCAATACAAGACACCCTGGACATCATCAAGACATCCAAAGAGATTCCATCCAACCTGTTCCCACTAATAGAACACTGCCTCACTTCCACTTATTTCCAGATCCAAGGAGAATTCTTCGAACAAACCACGGGAGCAGCAATGGGATCCCCCATATCACCCATCATCGCGAACATCTTCATAGAACACTTTGAGAACGAAATCCTGAAGACTCCACTGAAGGGAACCCTACCTCAATTTCTCACGTTTATCAACTCCCAGCACCCTAACATCCAATTCACAATGGAGATTGAACAGAACTCCCAAATTCCCTTCCTGGATGTTATTGGTCCGCAGGAACGAGGATGGCACCTTAGGCCACAACGTCTACCGTAAACCGACACACATGGACAGATACCTCCATGCCAACTCCCACCATCATCCCGCCCAAAAGAATTCGGTGATTAACTCTTTAGTCCACAGAGCACTCTCCATCTCGGAACCAGCTGCCCTGGACGGAGAACTAAACCACCTCCACCGAGCCCTGACAAGGAATGGATACAGTAGCAGAAACATCAACCGTACAATCCATAAGCTGACAAACAAGGAACCCAGCCTTAACAACACTAGGACGCCAGAGGCAGAGAAAGAGAAAAAAAAGGCGGTGGTACTCCCGTACCTCCGAGGCACGACGGACCGCATCAGAGTTTTGAGCAAGCATAACATAAGAGTGATATTCAAACCACACAACAAACTCTCTCAAATGCTCCCCAATCCCAAGGATCGGAGACCCCATTTGGCAGCCCCAGGAGTTTACAAAATCCTATGCGCTTACGGAAAAGTGTACATAGGAGAAACCGGGAGGAAGTATGTACATACAATATGATATGAAGCAATCTCTGTGTGCATTTATTTAAATTTTGTTATTAAGATATTGTTCTTATGTATACAGAGGATATCCTGGAACTCCTAAGTGTAAACGGAATCGCTACGGAAACCATAATACATACAGGGTGGTCTAAAAATCCCGGACCGGTTGAATATCCCGAGAAATTGTGGGTGGATCGGAAAACGGAAAAATACGTATTTCCTATTTTTGAAAGAGCTATCGTTTTTGAAAGAGCCACGTCGTTAATCCTGGGTAAAGCTAAGAACGGATAAAAAATTATCGTAGGCATCTACGATAATTCGACAAACATGTTTCAGACAAAAGTTACTTTTCTTCAACGTAACATCATTATGCAATAAAACATGGGGATTTCCCTTGAAGAAAACGATTTAACCAATTTTCGCCAAATGCAGCGCCATCTATCAGGAATCGAAAAAAAAGGTTCAGACAAAATTTACGTGTTTTTGGACGTAGAATTCGAATCTGCAATAAAAAGTACGGGTTCCCATTTAAGATTTTAAAGTTGTCCCCCGCCCCACCCACAGGGGTGGGGGTGGGGGGGGTCAATTTTGATATCATTCGATAGCTCTTTCAAAAATAGGAAATACGTATTTTTCCGTTTTCCGATCCACCCACAATTTCTCGGGATATTCAACCGTTCCGGGACTTTTAGACCACCCTGTATATCGGTGATTGTAGTGAAACTGATTTTCACCCCGTAAGGCTAAACGTAACTGGAAAATTGCTATATCTCATATTAAAGAGCAACGTCGAAAATTAGCAACAATACGAAGACAAAATAGTCGTTTAGGAAAAAAAGTAACAAACCTCGAAACTTTAATAAAAAATTTAAGAAATGAAAAATTGGTATCAGATGATGCTACAGGAGTCTTACCTGTAAGTCATTTATAAAATAATACGTGAACTGTAGATTTCTTGTACTAGTAGTGTGAATCCAACGTGGTATCATACTATAATATTAAAGCAGTGTTGGGCATTAATATAGTAAAATTGCAGTTAAATAATTGTGTTATCTCGCAGATAGCCACAAATTTGTCGAGAACAAATTTGGAAAATGTCAGCTACTGCTACCTGTTTGTTGATGTAACACCCTGTACGTTGTACTACTTGTTTGTAAGGTCAAACGACAATACGGTAATTATGCATAAAAGAGGCCTCCTCTCCGATTTGCTTCATTTTTAAATATGTTGTTGGGGATGTCTTCCCGAGTCATTTCATATATATACATAAGGGCCGGACTCAAATAGTTTCGGAGATACAGGCTGAGAAAAGATACAAATAATAATATATAGGTTTGTAACATTCCACGCATACCGAGAGCCACTCCCACCCATCCCTGCATGCGGAGAGGTGCGGTAGTCCCTGTTTGTTTACGTTTGAAAGTCTTCATATATTTCCGCCAAAGAATATTTATCATTCAGTTAGAGATCATCACAGCGTATAGAAGTTTCGGAACGTGAACAATAATGAAATTAAACAAATTTCTAAGTATCT